TTAATTTTGAAATTGTATTTTACAACAATGTAATTTCCCTAAATAATAATAATAATAATAATAATAAAAGTCAATATGACTGTTGGAAACAGCAACAGTCAAATTAAAAAAATAATGTGACCAAATGGTCACGTTTTAAAAATGAAAATTAAATAGAAGTGTTGTTAAAGATTGCATTTAAAAAATCAGAAGTAAAGTTTATATATACAAAAAAATCAAATGATAACACAATTTTTAATATTAAATAATAATACTATAAAATTCAATTAATTATATACCCAGGTCAAACCCTAACCTCCATTCTCTCTCCCTCTCTCTCTCCCTCTCTCCCCCATTTCCACTCTCTCTATACCCTTCCATTCTCTCATCTCTTTAAAACCATCGGAGATACCGCAGCGCAACGCTCTAGACATTACCACTGCAGTGGCATCACTTCGAAGCAAACATCACTACCACAGATCTCATAAGAAGACGATGATGGTAGGTCCATTATAAGTAGCGACGAGCGTCGCTGCTTTATGGTGGTCGTGGATCTCTGTGTCTAACACAATGGGTGTGAATCTATGGTGGTGCGGTGGTTTGCATTGGCGTGTACAGTATTGTCTGCGGTGGTTTGTGCAGTGATGATGCTATTGGTGGTGGTGCAGTTGGTGGATGTGGGTGCAGCGGCGATGGTTTTGGGATTTTAGTTTGATTTATTCCTTCAATTTGCTTCAACAAAGCTTTGGAGGGTGCTCAGCAGAATTTTTTTTTTAATTTTTTTTTTTTATTTTTGTGGTGTTTGTGGGGGTGCTCAACCAATGTTTTTGTTTTAGATTGTGAGGTGGTGCCGTGGTGGTGGGGATGTGGCGGTATGGTGGTGCCGATTTTAGTTTTTGTTTCTGTTTCTTTTGTGAGTTTCAGATTGTGAGGTTGTGTTGACGGTAAGGTAGTGCTGGTTCTTTGGGTTGTTTTTATGTTTCTACTTTGTTGTAAGGCAGTGTTGGCAGTGAGGTGGTGATGGTCATGATGGTAGTATGGTGATTGTGAGTGGTGGGATTTGTTAATTTGTGACCAATAATTTTATAATTTATGATTTATAATATTTGTGATTTGTTACAAGTAAATAAATTGTGGCTAAAAAATGTTTGATTTGTGATTGATGAACAAATTGTAACCTATATAATTTTTGAGTTGTGATTTAAAATAATTTTTGACATAAAAATTTTGATTTGTAATCGAAACATAATGTGATTAATTAAATTATTATTTTGTCACAAAATTATATAGATATGTGATCTTAATATATTTAATTAATAAAATATATAATTAATTAATTAAATCATAAATAAATAAATTTTAATAAATATCTTATTCTTGAAATTTGAAACCTTCGTTCTTATTTTTGAAATGGGTGATACATAACCCCTTAATTATGAATTGTGGAAATTACATAAAACCCTAATTTTAAAATCCTATATTCTAAAATCAAATGGGAACTTTCACATTTCACAAATCAGATATTTCACATTTAAAAATAAATAAATATTAAATATATAATTTTCATCCCTAACCTTAATCAATTTGCTCACTCCTTTCTCTCCTACCTCGTCTCTCTCTCTCTCTCTCTCTCTCTCGGATCACTCTCCACAGATCTTTTTTGTGCGGCGGGTGGTTGGTGCGATGTTGTGGTTGTGTGCGGTGATCGGTGGCTGGGTGTGCGAGTTGTGTAGCGTCATGATTCGAAGGCGATCGGTAGCAGCAACGATCTGGTCGTGAATGACGAGATCTGGTCGCGATCTGCAGCAGATGCGTTCGATGCCGACGTTTCTCCATGGGCCCTATAGATCTATTTTTTGTGCAGTGAGTGGTTGGTTCAATGTTGTGGTTGAGTGCGGTGACCGGTGGTTGGGTGTGCGGTATTGTGTGATGGTTGATCTGGTGAGTGCGCAAGTAGCAGTGGTGTTGGAATGGTGGCTGACGGTGGGGGGTAGTGGTAGTGGTAGTGGTGATGGTGAGATGTTGGTGGTTGTAAGTCGTGGTGGCGACGGTAGCGAGGTGGAGGTGCTGTTGGCGTTCAGAGAATTGATGATGATGTTGGTGGTGGTCGTGGTGGTAGGGCCATGATTTTGGGCGGCTTGTTTATTTTTGTTATATCTGTCGACGGAGTGGGTTTTAGTGGCGGTAGAGGAAGTGGTGCTGGCTACCGCAGCCAACGATGTTGGCTGTGCTGATAATTGTGATTGTGACCGTGACTCCCAATTGTGACTTCACATCGTTGGCTGCGCCGATAATTGTGATTGTGATCGTGACTCCCAATTGTGACTTGACATTGAATATGTGACCGTGACTCCCAATTGATTAAATTGTGATCGAAAAATTAATCGTGATCAATTAATTCAATAATTTACTATGAGTAAATGAATAGTGACAATAAATTTTTTAATTCTGTCACTGTTGAATAATCGGTGACCTATAAAATTTCTAGATATAGCGGTGAATGTAGGCTATTGTAGGGGTGGGCGCAGGTCGATTCGGTTCGGTTCTAAAGAGAACCGAACTGAATCAAAAATTTCGATTATCTAGTAAATGGAACTGTCGGGTTCAATTATAATTATGGAACCCTTCGGGTTCGGTTCTGTACTATAATTAAATTTTTTAACATTTATAACAATATTATATAAATACAACTAATGATACATTCAATGGTTTTGGAATGTCAGAGACTAGTAGACTACCTTATTCAAATTATCGCAACGGTCAAAGTTTCGGTTGGCGGAGGTCACAATGTCGACCGACGATTGTATAGGTTTTGGAATATTGGTGAGGCTGCGAGAGTCGAGACAACGTTTGCACTTTAGTCTAGGTGTTTATGGTTATTTAGTGGATTGGACCTTGTTGGACTAAAAAATGAAACAATAAAATGGGTAATTGGGTCAAAAATTAAAAAATTAGAAATGAAACAAATTATTGGGCCAAAAATTTGGATTTAGAAATTGTTAATTTGTTAATTTGTTTAGAAAAAATTAAAATTAAAATAATTTGATTTACTCAATATAAAAAAATTAGAAATATTCGGTTCTTATTCGGTTCTTCGGTTCTTGGTCTAAAACCGAGAATCGAATCGTACTCGTCGATTCTCAATTCAAATACCCGTTTGGGTATTTAATTTGACAAGAACCGTCGGGTTCAGTTCGGTCGGCTCGAGAGATTTGTCCAGCCCTAGGCTATTGCAAAAAGTGGCTGGGCAGTGATTACATGTGTTGTGACCAACTAATAAGTTGAATGTGACTAATAATTGGCTAATTTGTAATAAATAAATAATACGTGACCTAAAAATTGTGTTTGTGACTTATAATTTATTGAGTTGTGACCGAAAAATTAATCTGTGAACTATAAAATTTTTGATTCGTGATAAAAAAAAATAATATGTGACCTATAAAATTTTTAATTTGTGATTGAAAAATAAGTTGTGATAAATAATATGATAAGTCGTGACTAAAAATTAATATGTGACTAATTGTTTTTTGACTTGTGACCAATAAACAAATTGTGACTTACAAAATTTTTGAATTATGATCGTCAAGAAATTTGTAACATAAAATTTTTCATTTGTGACAAAAAAATAATAAGTAACTAATTATATTGTTAATTTGTGATCAAATTGTATAGATCCGTGACCTAAATATATTTAATTAATAAAATAATTAATTAACTAATTAAATCACAAATAAATTTTAATAAAAATCTGATTTTTGAAGTTTGAAACTTATTTTCTTAACTTTGAAATGTGTAATCCTTAAAATTCTTACATATGAAATTTTCCTTTATGAATTTCCCAACAATACACGGGCCGAAAGCTTGTGGGCTGGTGGCTTGTATGCTCTTTTCAAGCAGCGAGTTGAGTTGGTCCAAATTTTTTGTGTGGCTCTACTCACGCTAAGAACAAGCTCAAGGAGTCCATGGGTTGAATCCACACGAGCCAAGCAGCAAATTGCCACTCCTTAGCCTCCACTAAAGAGTTGGGTCTTAACAAGTGGGGCCAAAAGAAATTCCGTTTTTGAATGTCATGCGCGTAATTTGTGAGTATGTGCCCGTGTGTTGGTGTATGTAACCTTTGTACCTAATATTTTATTTCAATCTACCTTTCAGCTTATTTTTCTAAATACCCTAATTTTTAAAATATGTCTAAAGACCCCTAAAAAGAATCGGATTAAGGTGATTTGAAAATCCAGAATGTTAAAAATAAAAAAAAATAAAAAAAAAGTAACTTCAAAATCTAAGGGCCCAACCCTTGATATTTAAAGCATGTTCAGAAGTTTTTGCAATTATTTAAAATCATAATAAATAAATAAATAATGTGCTATGAATAAATAGTACTTGTAAATTTCCTGAAATGTATAGAAAGTGAATCGATCAATGATAAACCTATGCCACACAATCTTAGGAAGGAAAGTAACTTCAATAGGGTGGTTGCACTGCCACGTGCGCCACCTAGGCGGGTGGCCCACCACACATCCCAAGGTGTGTGGGCACGCCTCGACATTGGACGATCGCATCATCCACATGGTGCAACCACCCCCATTGAAGTTTTCTCTTCTTAGGAAGACCTTCCACATCTAATTTTGAGAGGTGAGAGTCCAAATATGGAGTCCTAACTTGTCCTTTCCAATAAATTTTTAAACCTCAATAAATCATCTCATCTTGACAAATGAAAAACAACCAATCTTCCAATACCTTGATATCTTTCTATTTTTCAAGAGATGTACTAAGATAGCTATGGCAGATATCAGGCGGATTAGATTTTTAACCTATTCTGTTCGTTTTCGTTTTATTTATTTTTTAATGAATTTTAATGACAGGATTATTTTGCCCTTTATTAAAAGGCACGTGTAGCCACTGTATTTAATGCCTTAGATGATTAGTCAGGCACAAGATCACAAATTTCATGTAATGTTGGGGACTAAATATGCAAATTCACCCTTCATTCTATATTGATCAAAGTTGGGAAATGTGTAATCTAGCATAAATCAGTAATAGATATAGTTCAATATTTGGGGGAAAAAGCCACAATTAATTTATGTTGGAATTTTCCAACATAAATTAGAGTTAATTAGATGTCAAAGGGGGAAATGAAAACATAATCGAGTATTTGAGCATCTAACAGTACTTTGTTCCAAGTTGTGACTTTTGGCCACAAACAGGGCAAGAATCCCCACAACTGCTCAGCACATCCTCTTGACCAATTCTCCTTTAAAAAAAAATTAAGAGAGGGAGGGAGGGAGGGAGGGAGAGAAGAAGAAGAAAACAAATGAAGTGAAACACAATTAAAGAATAAAGAGATAGTAAAGGGGTCAAAATCCACCATATCCAGGTTGGGAACAAGATTCAGCTCTGCTCTCTTTAGTCCATATTTAGATACTCAGGATAGGATGGGAGGAGACAGTTTGTAAAGAGAACAGCGTAGAAATGATTCCGGGAGGGGAGATATGTTACATACTCAAAACAGGAGGGACTATTAGGGAAACACCAACATAATAATTCCGAAATTAATAGAAAAGTACTAAATGATCCAAATGCATAAATGTCATTGCTTCACACAGCATAATTGAAGGCTAAATATGCATTTCCTCAAACAAAACAGTGCGTTAGACTTTCACAAAAGTTGGAACAATGCAAACGAAGAAGAACCAGATTGACAGATTCAGCTTAATTTCAATATTAGATCTGCCTATATTCCAGATTAGAAACTATTTATTAAATTTTGAACACTGAGCATTAGCAAAATTTTCAAGTACACATACTGAGCATCGAAAATTTTCAAGTAAATTTACTGAGCATTAGCAACTATTTATTTTCAAGTTTCATGTTTCTCACAAAACTGAATTTTGTTCCACAGTTGACATTAATGTTTGCCTTTTTTAGTCTAGTCAGTCAATTAAAGCCCAGTAGTTTAATAACAGAATGTTCAATGTGGAAGACAGCAATCTAGTGTGGCATAAACAAGTCTTCCACATAGGACATACCCTTGGAAAAACTACGGAGTTTAACCGAGTGAATGAACTCAAACAAAAAGCAAACTTCAGTACAAAATTTAAGTTAGGTGACTAACATGAAATTTCGCCATAAGTTGATTAATTACCATTGTTTTTTACCCTTTACTTATTTAATACAGAACATAGTCGATTCTGAGAACTTATTATTTAGCAGAGAAGCTTAGCTTATTGCTCATGTATTCAATATTTTCGGCGCATCCACCTTTAATGGGAAATAGGTTATGTCAAAAGTGAAATAACAATCTTCAAAAATCATAACAGTGGGGATCACCATCTTTGTTTAGGCTAATCTTCCATAATTCTTATAACATAAAAGCTCTCACATGCTATCCAGTCAAAAGGGAACAACAAGCATAGTTTCAACTACAAGTAGCTGATTACTGAGGCTGGAAGTTCAACCGTACATTCTTGATGCAAACAAACCAACCATTTTACATAGGCAGGATCACAGCGAATGATGAAACTGAGAAATCACGTAGATAAACTAGCATTCACTAGTACTGAAAATAATAGCTATTTTTATGAACGACATAATGAAGAAGCTCCCTTGTTTTTGTAAAACTGTTTTGAAGAAAAAGCCCAAAAACCAATGCTTAAACAAAAAATTACCTGTGTATGAACAACAAATTACTTTGACCAAAAAATTAGACACAGTAAGTTAGCCATTCTGCTCACACTCAACAAGGAGAAAAAATGATGCTAAACCGTCTCAGGAACATCTGGCTGCAGTCAGCTTTACGGGAAGCTTGCCTAAACCAAACAACTTCCAAGAAAAAAAAAGAAAAAAAAAAAAGAACAGAGAATGGAGGTAGGGAAAAGGGAAAAAAAAGAAAAAGAAAGAAAGAAAGAAAAATAAAAAGAGAGAAAGAAACGAAACATAGGAGATGAGGAAGATAGCAAGGAAAATATTGACAAATATTAAAAAGCTTAAACTCTCTCAAATAATTTCTTTTAATCCAACATTTTTACCTCACACTCCTAAATTAAAAAGCATAAAAAAAGATCCTGTTGATTAACTTCTAAAATCTACTGCTGCATACCTTTTATGAACTATCAGTTAAAATTTGACCCAGCCAATTCATCTGATTAAGACACCAGCCTAAACACCTGCATCTTCATGGAATGTCACAGGCATACCAAAACCATTAAATGCAAATTGGAAGTGGAACCTATGTTAACCACACCACTAATCCAGAAGTAATCATCCACTAGGTCATAATTGAGCGGTAAGAACCATTGAAGGACCTATATTACACAAGGGAATAAATTCATCCAGATAAATTTCAGTTTAGCATTAATTATGCTCGCATAATCCTCTTCCTTCAAAGTTTAGGTTATTCAAGAATAGTGTAAAAAGAGAAAGAAGGAAAGAATGGTATTGAGAATGTTAAGGAGACAAATCATTATATCACATCAACAACGTCCAGCTTAAGGGAGAAGGTGGAATTCCAAGTAGAATTAAAAATCACATAATAACAGAACATGCAGTCATAAAAGTTCTTAACTAGACTGACAAATAAGAAAACATCTACCTACTGATAGAGAGGTTATAATCCAGCATACATCAAGCTCATTAAGAAGTTTGCAAAAAACAGTGCACAGTTGGATCTGAGGTTGAATGTTTTAACCATATCAAGTTCAGCTTCAAACTTTGCCATCCATAGGACCTGCAAAAGAAACAAATACAAGAATGCTTTCATCATTTGATCAGCGACAAACCAATTAATCATCTTGATTGCCAAAAGAGAACGCGTAATTCTTAAGAAACGGTTTTCTTCCAGAAACTGGGATCACAAATTGACCATCCCAAACCATAGACCTCTAAAAGCACAGATGCATATATTTCTTCAGTGCAACTTCATTCCATCACAGGGGACCTCAGTTCTCTTGAAGTCGCTGTCAATTTCTTTGGAATTCTTCTGAAGACCTCCATCACCTCCATCCTCATCAACCTTCACAGTCATGGAATTCTTCAAGTTGTCATCACTTTCCACATGGACATCTTCAGATTTGACAGGTGTCTCACTTAGATCTTCATCTTTGCTTATCCCAAGACCAATATTATTCGTATTATGATTATTTTCTGCAGATTTTGACTTAGATCGCTTCCGGTGCTTGGATTTACGATCATCAGACCGTTTTGGAGATGTCTTACTGGCCTTATGTCGCTTTCCTTCAGTGGACCTTGACCTGGATCTCCTCCTTTCATGGTGTCTCAATTTCTCCTCTCTCCGCCGATCCAATTTATCAGCAGAGCGATATTTATTCTCGGCAGATCTGGATCTGGAACGTCTTCTGTGTTTCGATTTTCTTTCATCTGAACCTCTTCCCGATAATTTACCTTGTCCATGACTTTGATCCTCTTTCGAAGCTGACCTGTGGCGCCTCCTCTCCTGATGCTTGGATTTTTCTTCTCTGTTATCATTTATCTTATCACTAGAGTGATGCTTAGCTTCGACAGACCTTGACCTAGAGCGTGTTCTATGTTTTGGTCTGTTTACATCATCTCGTGCGGATGGTGACCTTCTCTTGTGATGTCGAGGAGATCTTGAATCAACACGAGCTGATTTCCTTGTCCTCTCTGTTGGACTTTCTCGACGGCGTGGTGGTGACTCCGAATCGTCTCGATATGCCTTCTTAGTTTGAGGGCTCACGCTCCTACTCCTATATCTCCTGGAAACAGGCGAGCGGCGATTGTACGGTCTACCTGATTCATGCCATTTCCTTCTATCACTGCCATCCTTACCATCCCTGAAGGATCTCCTATCTTTTTCATAGCTAGAGTAATGGTGAGATCTTACTGGTGATCTAGATCTAGAATCTCTGGCTCGGCGGGGTGGTGGTGAGAAAGAGCGTGACCTACGTCTTCTATGATTACCGAAAGGAGATTTTGACTTGGATCTTGACCTTGCATGATCAGCAGACGGTGACCTAATAAATTGTCATTAACCAATTTTTGAGTAAATTTATAGTAAAACTAGCTGAAGAAAACACAATAATGACTGAAACCTGTTTGTTGTCAAAAAGACATCTAGGAAAGTTAATGGCTGCTTGAATAGATGTCAGACTTTACTGTGAAGTAGCAGATTTAAAACAGGTGAGAGCAACAATCGCCCCCCCCCCCAATCCACCCACCCAAAAGAAAGGAGGGGTGGGGGTGGGAATCTAAGACTAAGAAAAAAAAGGGCATGCAAAGAAAGAAACACATTGTCTAGTCCAGTCTCAACTGGTGAAGAGCTCTGGACAGTTTGCAGATTTAAATATATGTACATTTCAAGCCAAGAAAGGAAGCTCCAATAAATTGCAGCATTAAGATGATAAAGGAAAAATCTTGGAAACAAAAGCAGCTGCCAGCAAGCACAAGAAATAACCTCCATTCTTTTTTGTCTAATTGAAGCATGTATACGTCTTTTGTTTTCTTTCTTACTTCTGGACGTGTCTCAGGATAGTTGGTTTTCTATTTCTTTATAGAAAGGCCGGGGTGGAGGAATGTGGCTGTCGCTGTTTACAATAGAATATAATAAAATTGCAACATCGCATGAATTGAGCATATGATTTACAGTATATAGCAACAGAAAATAGGACAAGCAATGCTAATCCGGTTTGTTCACTAAATTAAAATCTCACGTGGAACCTCCAAAATCTTATGTGGACCTTTCAAAATTAACAAAGACAACAACCAAAAGAATTTTATTATAATACCTCTTCAGGTCAGAGTAATAATGCCAAATAAACTACTTTAAAACAGCTCTAGACAGAAACAAAATTAATGGTCCCCTAAGTGATGGGCTTGTAAAAAAATTTTAATGGTTCCTTAAAGAAACATTCTTAGCTCATACCTTATCACAATTTCCAAAACAGGAGGAGCAGAGGCAGGGATAAAGGAGATGGTTATTGTTCAGCTCTGTCTAACCATACTTTATGGAATTATAAAGAAAATCCACAGATTCAAGGTTCAAATAACTATTAACAAATTTGGTAACTCCAGAACTGTCCCGCATTCCATAAGTTGGAAACTGAAATAAGTTGACAACTCAAACAACAAAATCGTGAAACATCTGATTTTTATTCCAAAAGGGAAAGTGTTGTAAGCAAATGAGTGCTCCTGGAACTAGTCTAAACATAGGGGAAATAATCTAGGACACACCTGGGAGTATTTCAGGACATTAGAACATAAAGCGGTTTACAAAAAGTCTGAAAAATAATGTCATATTCTTATAACGCGTGGCTTCATGTACCAAACATTTAAATATAGGCAACATATAGATTTTTTATGGATTCATTTGGCAAAAGAAATAACAAAAATTCTTGTTTATTAAAAATGAATAATAGAAAAAGTTCCTTTTTTTTTTTTTTTTTTCAAAAAACCAATTTAAAAATGGGATAACATGATCCATAGGGCATGAGTTCTAGTACCATAAGTGTTTCCTCTGAAGAATTATTACAGGTCGCAATTTATTCAACAAAGAAGCACTTCATGAAGCCTGCTGAAATTTGATTGATTAATTTATCCCCTTTTTACATAAGGAAGAAGAAAACTTACCTTCTTTTTTTTCTCCGAAGAATTATTACAGGTCGCAATTTATTCAACAATTGATTTTTGAAGTTATCGGGTTATTAGTCTAGGATTTATCTTTTTAACCATAAGGATACCTTCTGGAGCAATATGGGCTAACAAAGCATGGATCTAAATCTAATTTTCAATTGGATTAATTCATTTGAATTGATAGGGGCGCATTGGTTAGCCCACGAGAGAGAGGCTGTGGGGTTGTTCGAGGTTGAGAAGGAGGTCCATTTGATATCCAAAAACTGCTCATCAACAGTCAAACAAGTGGGGAATGTGAATTTATACTAACTTCATGGAACAATATGTTACTGCTGAAACATAGAAGAATTGAAATCTTAGATCAAAACACTATGTATGAATGATATGAACTGCCCAAACAAGAATTCTTGAAGTCCACAGTTTGGCAACTGAAATCACATTTTCCATTTGAAAATATTTGCAGTAGAGTTATAGTACTTGTTACTTGTTACCGAATAAACCAAATACAATCTTCAGTTTTCAATAATATTCATGTTTTTGGAGCAAAGAACATTATAACAATTGGCCATGCAAATGCTCTTTTTGTTTTTCAACAGGTCCATGCATCAGAAAGCAGAGAAAAAAAATGCTTGAAAATAAGCCTTGAATGGCACTATATAACACATGACGACCGATACAAATGACTATGAGAAAAATAGAAGATGCTAAAAAAACTCAAATTTGAGAAGCCTCCCACAAAATAGCATAAGTGCAATGAGATATAGTTTTAGATATTTATCCGTACTTAAATGGAAGTACCATTAGTACACATAAGATCAACTTTCATTGGACATTTTCTTTTTAGATGAGTAATTTCTTACCATAATACAGCATTTACTTCAATAAAGATTAGAGTTGTACCAAATGTTCTTTTTCTAATTTTCACACGTACAAACCATGCAACTATATTTTTCCATTATAGCAATTAATGTTCTTTTTCTTCTTAAATATAATAAATACGCTAGAGAAAATACATATGAGAATCTGCGGATGACAACAGCTTGAGCATGCACAGTTGTATCATCATCCACAGGACACAACAAATCATACAAACTTTAGGAATTTTAATAATTTTGTATTATAAGGGGATTTTCTTCAGGCCATTAGTGGAGGATACAGTCAAATAGAAACAAACAGAAATTGAACGTGATCATTAACTATTCAATTTGAAAGCCCAGAAAATGGTATAGTGAACAGTTATTTTTATTTGTATGCGTAATCACTCAAGCAGAAGCTCTAATAGGTAGAACATTTGTCAAAATTATATTGGAAAACAACCAGATAGCCTCATTTTGGTCTAAGCATATTGCAAAAACCTGAAATTATAACAATTTGTTTCAAAATTTTAAGTGCAGCATCGATCAAATTCCCATCAAAGATGTCAAGGAAAAAACTTTTAAATCACACCACTTGAATAAATATCTTTGAAGACAGTAAAAACAACATACCTAGATTTTCGATCTGATTCCTTTTCCCCGGCAACAATTCCATCAGGTTGCAACTTCTTACTTATTTCTGCAGCCCTAGCTGCCGCTAAATCGGTTGCAGACTTCATGGTTGCTGCTCGATTAGCTGCCTGCTGTGCAGTCAAGGTCTGCTGCATTAATAGTGCTTGCTGAAATTGCATCTGTTGCATGGCAACAGCTTGCTGCATCACCATAGGCAAAGATGATTGCGAATTCATAACAGGCTTTGGAGGAAGTGATTTTGCCATTTCAACATTCAATGGACGTCCCCCAACTTCTATATTGTTCAATGCCAAAGCAGCAGTTGCTTCTTCTGGTTTTGAGTATTCTATGTAAGCAAAATGTTTTGAATCAGTGATAGTACAGTCAACAACTGTGCCAGAAAAACCAAAAAGCTGTTTCAATTGATCCACTGTTAGAAGTGGGCTGAGATTGCTAACTTGCACAGTTTTTTTCAGGGATTCAGCCTTTTCCTCCTTTTCAGCTGATCCTGATAGAAGAAAGGCGAAAATAGTTAAGAATACCAAATATTCTAATGAATCAAGAGCACTAACCATCAAATGAAAACCCAAATATAAAAATGCTTTCAGGAAAAGAAAATAAAAATATCCAAAAATGTCGAGTGCAAAGTACTATAGTTGAGTGCAACAACCATTTCCAGTACCAGATGAAAAGAAAGAACCAAGGCTAAGTTGAGAAAACAACCACCACCTAACCCTTATTCCCAATAAAATGGGGATCAACTACATGAATCATTTTTGAGAGGTTCTGTTCATCGCTATATCTATACAAAAAGTGGCATACATTATCATATATAGCAACAAAAATTATATTTGCATTTAAAAAAGACAAGTTTCCAACAATGATTACTCTGAGCCATCATTATCAAGGTAGAGGTACCAAATTTTTTTTTAAAAAAAAATGATGGTTGACCTACCAGAAGAGCTTTTTGTGGAGTGAGCTTGAGCATGGGCCTGAGCTGCATGGGCTTGAAGGGCTTGAGCAGCAACAATTGCCTGAGCAGCAGCCATTGCAGCAGCAGAAGGTGCCATAGGCACTTGGCTGAGAGTTCCCATCGTGCTGGTCGCAGCTAAAGCAGTCATCAACAGATTGTGAGGGGGGTGATTGAACTTACAACCAGTTTTAGCACACTGTCCATTAAGGTAATCACGACAAACTTCCCCCAGAGATGCCCCAATTCCAGGCAAAACAGCACCACCTGAAGCTCCAGTAACAACACCAGGAATCATTCCAAGCAATCCAGGAAAAGCACCAGACACAGAACCCAAATAATTTGGCATGTTTGGCATTGTTTGATTGACTAAATTTGGAAATGAAGCTGCTGGAGCCATGCCTAGAAGCCCTCCTGTGGGAGTTCCTACATCACAAAAAGGCAAAACATCAAATTTTCCACAGCGACTTATTATTATTTTCATTAAAAAACAATCCAGGTCTTTAGCAGTAAAAAAATGTGATCAAAGGGAAGAACATGATAAAATTACATTTCATCATCAGTCAACAAATGCTAACTTCACGTTAAGTACGCAAGGACAAAAAAGAAAAGTATATTTTTCTCCAAACTAACCAGAAAAATATATATGCTCTACAAAGGAATAACAGGCTATTCAATCAACTGAGTAACCAATTTTCTCTATAATGGATATTTATTAAGATAAATAAAATTAGTATAACAGGCTAAAGACCAAATCAATCTTTATAATTGCTAGAGAAAAAGCTTTTGCAATAATTATGAGATATAAAGTATGATACATTGAAAACATTGTAAAACCCAAATAGTCACAAACTAGCAACACTATGAGAATAAATATATTAGCAACAGCAACTCAACATATGCCACTTAGAGTGTGTTTGGAAGGGCCCTCCAAAGCCTAAAAGCACTTCCAAGAGGTCAAAAGTTCTTTTATTTAAAATATTAGCCCTTGTTTGAGCCTCATTTTGGGGGGGAAAAATACATTTTTGAATAGTGTAATGATGTAAAATGTGTGGTTAAAAAAAAAAGAAAAAGTTTTAGATTTGCTTGTAATATTATTTTATAGAAGAATGTGTGGTTGAAATGATGTCAAAATAATGTTTAAGAATCCATTTTTCCAAAGAATGGGGCTCAAACAAGGGCTTCGTTGTTTGGCTAAAGTCAAAAGTACATTTTGAAAAGAAAAGAAAACAACTTAGAAAAGTTGTTTTTGAGTTTTTCTAAAAAGCTCCAATTGGCTTTTACAGGAAGCTGTAACTTATATGTAATGAAACTTTAAAATTAACAAATACAAATTATTATATCAAAATCAACTTTCCAACTTCAAACCCAGTTAAATAAATATAAAGATTATACTAAATCACTTTTATGGTTATACGGCCGAACAGTCAATTTGATTTACAGAGCTTTTTTGATTCACTACCAAACAGTCAAAAGCTTTTTAATAAAAGCTCTAATGTCAAAAGCAACAGCTACTGCTAAAAGCTCTACTCAAAACAACTGTGCCAAACAAACCCTTAATAAGTCATGAGGGTACGTTGAAATAGTGCCAAAGAAAGCAGACTGTGAATATACTGTATAACATGTGAATACAGATCCAGGAAATCAAAGGTAGGATTATTTCCCAAAAATTATTTAACAATCTCTAGCATCATAATTTATAGACAGTAAAATACAAAACATTCAAAAAAATAAATAAATAAAATTGCTTTGCTGGAAGACATTATTAGTCTACATAAACATGCATGTATATACACAAACAAAATTAATCGATCAACCACAAATCATTACAATGTATAAAAGATTTTAAAATGTGGAGGACTTCAATGGCCCAAAGTTTTCATTCTATTCGCTAATCAATTAATCAATGCAAGGAAATTCCTACATGCATGAAATATGCATACAGTTACAAATGTTTCCACAAAAAATGTTTTTCATCCAGTAGGCCATTACGCGAGACCAGTAATTGAAAAACTATTTCTAGCAAACCACAAAAATAATAGATTCTCTAGACAAGATATCCGATTAATTGGAAAAATACTATTGAATCTTCACAAACCATCTATGTATGCACATAGGATTGGACAAGTGATCATCGATATACAACCCTTACATTTACATATGTGCATTACATTTTCTTTTCCTTGTCCATAACATAACCAATGTAACAATACACTTAATTAAAAATCTCCTGTATACTAACTGGGATGAGATATGCATGCACACACGCATGAATCATGTATGCATATGAATATATTCATGTACATAAACACACAAGATAAACATATAAATGCATCTACATGTACACTCTTAAAGTAGCAAATTTCAGACCTTAAAATTTTCTGAACTGAACCTACTTAAGAGTACCGGAGATTTAAAACTTAAAAAAAAGTATCACCAACGATCAACTAGACAAACAATATAACCTAATAATGTAGCTAAATGGGTAAATTCCTCCATAAGTCCCCGGCCTTTTAACAAGTACGCGGTATCCCCGCTTCATGAAAATGTTTAATTGACGTTAAATGGCCAAGCAATATGCACACGATAAGGTTGGAGACCTGGAGGAATTTACCCTAATAAAATTTATGCATGTGCTTACTCTCGTACGCACTTAGTTATACTAGAGATCGGCATCCAATAATCAATCCATCAAAGAATAATAACAGACTAGAAACACAAATTAATATGAACATTAGCCCATATTACATTGTATATAATAAGTGAGGGGGGAACCTGAGCTGAAGAAGACAGGAAAGGGGCTGCCCATGATAGCCTTCCCGTTGCACTCCACATTCACCATGTAATTCCCTCTCTTCGACACCACATAAGTGGCAGTGTAAGTCCCATCTCCCATATCTTTCACAATCCCGTCCTGCTCCGAACCCCCAACTCCAACCCCGGGCACCACCCGCACCTTCACCTCTGCCCCGCCCCTCGTTACCTTCCTTCCCTCCGCATCCTTCGTTACCACAATAAAAGTGGCTCCCACACAAGCCGACCCGCCAGCAATACCCGCACCTTGCGCCGTGCACTTCGCAGGGTCCACCGGCCCCGCCGGCCGGTTATTATCCTGAGATATTTCCTCAGAATCCGAATCAGACAACGACACGGCGAAAGGCGATTGTGGATGCTCCGTTGGTTGGGAATTTTTGTTGAAGGTGGCTTCGAAGGCGGCTTTAGCGGCTGCTGCTTTCTCGGCTTCATTCTTCAGCTTGGCTTCTTCGGCTTGTTTCATCCATATCGGTTTGACTACGGCAGCCGTCGTGTTACTGTTATTGCTGTTGCTGGTCCGATCTGCCATGGATGATAACGAAAGGAGCTTCCTTCGTGGGGGAAATTACAGGAATTGGGGAAAAATTGACAAGGAACCCTCAGGGTATATTATTATTATAGGATTAATTTCACAAACGGTTAATGAACTCACCTGAAAATTATAAAACGGTCACTGAAGTTAAAAAATTGTAAAAACGGTCAATGAGTTTAGAAAGCTTTCAGACATGGTCACTGCAATTTACAAACTTGCAGAAATTGTCAACCAAAATTTTCAAATTTTTGGAAGTTGCCGAAAAATTGCGCAAAACTCGTCCAAAAATTTGAAAAATCTTAGCAGCTTTTCAGATTTCGGGAAGTTGATTTTGTGGATTTACTCCGGTCGAATCTTTTGGAGTTATGGGGAGATTTTGATTGGTAATTGAAAAGAACATTGTGGACTTTCCAACGGTACTTAAATTCGGTGATCTTGGTAGTCAGAAATTGTTGAAAAATTGCTGCAAAATTCGCCCAAAAATCTAGGCAGATTTTCAAATTTCGAAAAACTGATTTTGTGGACTTATTTCATCAAATCCTTTGAAGTTATAAGGAGGTTTTTTGTGATAAGTGAAGAAGACATTGTGGCTTTCCAACAATATCCAAATCCGACGGTTTTGGTAGTTGGAAGTTGTCGAAAAATTGACGCAAAACTCGCCCAAAAATATGAAAGATCTGGGTAACCGTTCTTGTAAGTTTGTAAACTTTAGTGATCGTTTCTGAACGTGCTCTAAACTTTAGTGATCGTTTCTGTAAGTTTTAAGTTTCAGTGATCGTTTTGTAATTTTTAAGATAAGTTCAGTGATCGTTTGTGAAATCAACCCTAATATAATAAATAACCTAGTGCAGGCCACCACTCACACATGGGAAAGGGTGGGTGAATCTTTTTTTTTTTTTTAAATAATCACCGACCCCCACTTACGTACCTTGGCATGTGTTTGGCCTATATAGGCCTTGTGAAATAATGGTATGTACAGTTAAAATTATTCATTATTGTAATACTACTATTTGGGGAAATTGTGGTATGAACCTTTAGACCATGTTTGTTCCCCATTATCTGAATTCGAGAATGCATTTTTGGAACTGTTTTCCAAGCACATGGGTCCAATTGTGAGATAGAAAGTCAAAAACATTGGCTGCTGCGTTTGCAACGGTTTGAAAAGCTATTAAAATGAGATAAAAAATAGGAAACGGACGGGGGCTTAAGCCCAGTTTGGTAATCTTTAATTTACTTTAATTTATTTTTTATACTCATTTTCAATTATACATTAACACAATAAAATATTCTACATGTAAATTCAAATATTTTCCTAATTTTAAATACGTATTCTCCAAAAAAATATTATTCAAAACATAGTTTTTTAAGTTTAAAAGCCACAAAATTGGGGCTAAATTAGAAAAAGATCAAGTAAAAAAAAAATGAGAGGAGAAAAAGAAAAGAAAAAAATTGACCTGACTAATACGTTAGGAAGTTTAATTATTTTGGTAATGGTTACCAAACTTTAATTAATCTCAAATTGATTACTCAAATGGTATATTTTCTTCCTTTTCAATTTCACTTATTTTGTTTGAAAACCAAAGTCAACGAAATTTGTGACTTGATTGATGGATTGCTGACATTCAACTTTTACTTTTGACTATACAACTTTTTTTTAAATGTTAATCGATCATGTTGATAAATACTCACTTTTTGTTGTTTTAAAATGGATAATTAACACAAAATGTCTCTATCTTTCAATATTATTGTATAAAATGTCATTGTTTTTATTTTTTGGCATCTTCACACTTATTATCATCTTTCATTGCAGAAAGGTTTCTTCATTCAATTTCTCAATAAAAATGTAAAATGATAAATACACCCTCCTATTTAAATAAAATAAAAAAGGAGAAAAGAACAAATTGTAATTATACTCCCAAACCTTTTAAAAAGCTACAAAAGAATTCAAATAAATTATTAGAATGATAATTAGCACAAAACGTCACAACTTTTCATTTTTTTGATATTTTCACCCATATTTCACATTAAATTGTCGAAAACATCATTTTTATCCATCTTCTCAATTAAAAGCCATAAAATAACGAATATCATCCTATTTAAATAAAAAAATAAATGACAATTTGCAACTATACTCACAAAATTTTTTAAAAAAAAAGTACAAATAAATTTCAAACAAATAATTTAAAAAAGAAAGTAATACTTTTATTTTTCGTTTTTAATAATTTATTTGTACTTTTTAAAAAATTTTGGGAATATAGTCGCAAATTGTTCTTTCTTTTTCTTTTCTTCATTTTTTTTTATTTAAGAATATGAGGGTATATTCTACATTTTATAACTTTTAATTAGAAAAGTGAATGGAAATGATGAATTTCACAATAGAATGTGAAAATAGGGGTGAAATGTGAAAAAAATGAAAGGTAGGAGAGATATTTTGTACTATAATATTGAAAGATGTAGACGTTTTGTGCTAATTACTCATTTAATGATTTATTTGTACTTATTTGCAGTTTTTAAAAAGTTGGGGAGCATAATTGTATTTTGTTTTTTAATTTTTCTTTTCTTTTATTTAAATATGAGAGTATATTTGTCGTTTTACATTTTTTATTGATAAATTAGATGAAAATGACATTTTCCATAATGAAAAGTAAAAATAGGGATAAAAATAAAATGCATGGACGTTCTGTACAATAAGATTGAAAGGGAATTACCCTTAGTGGATCCTTTATCGAATTTTAGAATTAGTTGAAAGAATTCAAATAATAGAAGAAGACCCTATAAAACATTGGTACAAAAATAAAATAGAAACTAAATTAGAAATAATAAAAATAAAATAGAAGCTAAATTAGAAATAATAATAAAAATATAAAAACTAGAACAACAAAAATAAAACATACGAATCAAGATATAGAAGATTTTAACATACAGATTAAAAAACTATTAGATTTAAAATTAATAAGACCGTCTAGTAATCAACACAGATCAACAGCCTTTATGGTTAGAAATCATAGTGAAATAAAAAGAGAAAAAGCAAGGATGGTTATAAACTATAAAAAATTAAATGATAACACTGTAGAAGATGAATATAAGATACCAGATAAAGATATGCTAATAAATAAAATACAAAATAGCAAGATATTTTCTAAATTTGATTGTAAATCTGAATTTTGACAAATAAAAATGGCAAAAGATTCTATTCCATGGACGACTTTTACTACCCCATCAGGACACTTTGAATGGCTAGTTATGCCTTTTGGATTAAAAAATACACCATTTATTTCTCAAAGGAATATGGATAGTATATTTAATTTTATTCCATTTGTTTGTACATATATAGATGATATTCTAAGAACATATAAAACACCTAGAGATAACATTGAATAAATTTATAAAAAATGGTTTAATTATAAGTAAAAAGAAGATGGAAATAAATGAACAAAAAATTGAATTTTTAGGAATAATTTTAGGAGAAGGAAAGATTCAGGTACAGTCACATATAGTACTGATAATTTTACAATTTTCAGACAAAATTGAAGAAACCAAGAAATTACAAGCATTTTTAAGAATATTAAATTTTGTTAGACATTTTATTAAAGATTTAGGAAGGAAAGTAAGACCACTGTACAGCAAATTGTCCAGTAAAGGACAGAGATATTTTAATCAATCAGGTATATAATTAGTTAAAAAGATAAAAATAGAAGTTAAAAATTTACCACCATTATAATTACTATTAGATAGTGAATATAAAACAATAGAAACAGATAGATGTGAATTAGGATGTGGAGAAATTTAATATTCCAAACCAAATAAGTATAGTAATAAAAAAAGAAGAAGAAATGTGTAGATATGCTAGCGAAAAATACAAGATAAAAAGAAAATATTTAACTAGTTTAGATTATGAAATAATTGTCATCATACATAGTATAGAAAGTTTTAAATTATTTTTAAACAGTGAATTTATAATTAGGACAGATTGTGAGCTACAGTAAAATTATTAAAAATACAAATTTTGATAAGATGAGACATAAAAGATAGTTAATATTATATGAGATATTAAACAAGTATAAAATTAATACAGAACATATTGACGGAAAAAATAATATTTTAGCAGATAATTTAAGTAGGCATGATATTAAATTTCTAACTCATTATCTTCATGACGTAGATGTATCAAAAGATGATGAATTTTGGGAATGTCACTCTGAAAGTGGCCCCTCAAGAATCTAATCTTCGATTCAGAGAAAATAATTTTAAAAGACTACCAAAAAGGGAACGTTATCAACTGTATCAATCTCTGGATGACACATGACTCTAATAAAAATTAGATAGCATTAATGCCCTAGTTAACTATTTTAAACAAATTCATAATCAATTAGAAATCATAAATTTTAATTTCTTTGTAGCAATTAAAGGTAGAAAGCTTGATATATATAATTATTGGTCAGAAGTACTACAGCAAGTAGAAAGATTTCCCGACCCTATTTTCAAAGGATTTTATACACTTTAAGAAGTTTTAAATTTTTCTGGAGAAATGATAGGATTTAATTTTTCATATATCCAAAAGAGTTAGAAAGACCATGCAAACCCCCTCTCAAGCTTCATCATCATCTTCATCAATATAACTTTGTGATAGTTGTAAAACTATGACCAAAGTTGTCAGAAATTTAAATCTTAGAAAGCATTCATTAGAAGAAATACTACAACTTCTTGAAGATCAAGGGGCTGTTTGAGCCCCATTATTTGTAAATTATAATAAGATGAAGTGTTTTTTTTTTAAAAATGAGTGGTTAAAAAGTTTTTGATTTACGTGTATTATTATTTTATTGAAGATTACGAGGTTAAAAGTAGGAGAGAGGAAAATTTAATTTAATGTAATGAGAAATAATAAGGCTCAAACTGGAGCCAAATTTTTTTATCCCAACAAACTATTAGTAAATATTAAAATGAGATTCTTCGATTGCATAATAGTTTAGACAGATTTAGTTCTAGAGATAAATTTGAAAAACTCATTTCTAAAGACATTACCTCTGCAAGTAGAAATTATTTTGAAAAAATAGAAAGACTTATTG